TCAAGTTTTTACTGCAAATGTCATGTCCATAACGCTGGAATTCCCAGTTTTAAATAATTTATCCTCAACTAGTTTTGTGGTGTAGGTCTACGTATTTTATAATGTTAACTTCAAATAATACTGGATCTGGACGGTAAGGAGGATAACGTTGGGAGTTGGAAGGGGTGTGTCGCGATTCAGGTTTGTGGATCTCAGTGCCGTTAAATATGATTTATTGATTTATTTATGATTTATGATGATGTTTTTCAACGGCTCTGGTGGATCTGAGTGTCACCAAATCGTGATTTTGGTTTCATATCGCATTCCGTTACAGCCCTTTTTAGAACGTTCTACTTCTGAATTGCCTAGTTATTTTGGTGAAAGTAACTCAAAGGTAATACAGGAGTAATGCAACACATTACAATTCAGAGACAGTAATATTGTAAGGTAATTAATTACTTTTAAATAACAGTAACAAGTAATAGATAATGCATTATAGTTTGGAAGTAACTTGCACAACACTGATCTTCAATGTAGTTGGGGGGCGGGGTTAGGGGGGGCCCTACCATTTTATTTTGCATATGGGCCTGGGACTTACTTGCTACGCCACTGCCTTTAAGAGTTAATTCTATAGGTATGCATTTCAATATATGTGCGCAGGCATGTAGTCCTTTGCTTAAAAAAAAATACCAACCCTCAACAAACTATTTGTCTGGCCTTAAAATTTACAATACAGAATTTTATCACTTCGGCGTAGCCAAGTAAACCGGAATTATCCTGACAACGATTATCTGTACAGAGGTAAGGGGAAGGAGGCACACAGGAGGGACTAGTTGACACTTCAGGACTGCATTGTCATCGCATTGTCGTTTGGCAACCCACAGAGCTTTAGTTTATTTGCCCTACATCAATAGGGATCATTTTAGTACTCCCTCCCATTGGGGACGGGTTTGAGTACACTCCCTTAGAGCCTGAGCATGTCATGAGCTGACGCTGTTGATAATTGAATTGAAGTATCGCCATCAAGTAGTAGGCCTTCACAGGCCACCTTGAAGGTGGCTCCACTATGTTGTGGATTTTAGCAATATTCATCATGTTAATTCTAGCCCAGAGCCTAGTCAAATATATATATGTGTATATATATATATATATATATATATATATATATATATATATATTTACATATTTATATATATACATACACTCACCTAAAGGATTATTAGGAACACCTGTTCAATCTATCATTAATGCAATTATCTAATCAACCAATCACATTGCAGTTGCTTCAATGCATTTAGGGTTGTGGTCCTGGTCAAGAAAAACTCCTGAACTCCAAACTGAATGTCAGAATGGGAAAGAAAGGTGATTTAAGCAATTCTGAGCGTGGCATGTTTGTTGTTGCCAGACGGGCTGGTCTGAGTATTTCACAATCTGCTTAGTTACTGGGATTTTCACGCACAACCATTTCTAATGTGAAAAGGGAAAAACATCCAGTATGCGGCAGTTCTGTGGGCGAAAATGCCTTGTTAATGCTAGAGGTCAGAGGAGAATGGGCCGACTGATTTAAGCTGATAGAAGAGCAACTTTGACTGAAATAACCACTCGTTACAACCGAGGTATGCAGCAAAGCATTTGTGAAGTCACAACACGCACAACCTTGAGGCGGACGGGCAACAACAGCAGAAGTACCACTCATCTCCACTACAAATAGGAAAAAGAGGCTACAATTTGCAAGAGTGCACCAAAATTGGACAGTTGAAGACTCAAAAAATGTTGCCTGGTCTGATGAGTCTCGATTTCTGTTTCAGATGGTAGAGTCAGAATTTGGCGTAAACAGAATAAGAACATGGATACTTTGATGGCTACTTCAAGCAGGATAATGCACCATGTCACAAATCTTGAATCATTTCAAATTGTTTTCTTGAACATGGCAATGTGTTCATTGTACTAAAATGGCCCCCACAGTCACCAGATATCAACCCAAAAGAGCATCTTTGGGATGTGGTGGAACGGGAGTTTCGTGTCCTGGATGTGCATCCCACAAATCTCCAACTGCAAGATGCTATCCTATCAATATGGGCCAACATTTCTAAAGAATGCTTTCAGCACCTTGTTAAAGCAGTGCCACGTAGAAGGCAGTTCTGAAGGCAAAAGTGGGTCAAACACACAGTATTAGTATGGTGTTCCTAATAATCCTTTAGGTGAGTGTATATATTATTTTCCTAGCTACCCTAAGTCTGGTTAGAAGGTTGATGAGGCCTCCCTGCCCTAGTATAGAGCAGGAGGTGCCCCCCTTTATCTAGGGTCTCTTGTTAGAGTGCCCAGCATCCACAATGTTTCATTGCACTGTGTAGATTCAAGATCGAGTGGAGTTACCCTCGTTTGCAAGGGTTATACTGTACTATGCTGAGATCTACTCTCCAAGATTCCCCTCTCTATGATCCGGTCTGTAAACGATTGTGATGAAAGTGGATGACATGTTCCAGGTGCCCCTTCTATTCACACTTCCGGTTCGCACTATTAGTGACGTCGTAGGCTGTCGCCGGTCAAGTTCGATTGCCTTGACTGGATAGTTTTTCAGACAACAATTCACGTGGAGGGGGTTCACCAAAAAGATTTATTGACATAATGTCTCATTCCCTGTTCTCAGGGAACAGAGGTTACAGTCATAACTTAGACTGTTTCCGCCAACAGCAACAATATAAAACTTCTCTTTCTATAATTTATATTTTCTAACACGTGTCTGCAACCACTTAATTTCATCCTTGTGTCAATTACAATAGTGTAAATACTTCGTGTTTTAGTTAAACATTGTCCATGTTTTTTAGTGATTGGAAAGAGCCATTCACAAAGTGACTCACACATTTTGACTAGCATGTTATTTAGTTCAGGTTGACTTTTATAATTCTGTGAAGATGTAAAGGCCAATTCATACCACACCAAAAGATACCAACAGATCAGTGTGTTACTATGTTAATACTTTATATGATGAGCATTTTTGTTTTGTGTTTACCATCGGCGACAGAAATAAAATAAAAAAACTGGTTAATAACCAGTATCATCAGTAATTCCAATGATGAGAAACACTGGTAACAGCAAAGATCTTTCAGTTAGATGTGATGTTTCTTTCAGAGTGGTCAAAGAATGCTAAGGAACAGTGCCCGGTTGCATAAAACACCTTAAGTTTTTCCCTTAAGAATGATACTTAAGGGGCGATTTCCCCTTACCTAAGAGAATAATTTAAGGGTGTTGCATATAATCTCTTAAACAGTTCTCTTAGGTAAGGGAAAAAATTAAGTGTTTCACGACAGCTATCCTGGATTCACGTTATAAAAGTCTGTTGTTGCCATAGATACGCAAAACACTAACACTTGCAATTTCGCAGTTTCATCAAATAAAGTAGGCTAGGATATCAGAATGGATAAAGAAAACAAAAAAGAAAGCCAAATTGGACAGAGGATGATAAATGTTTTCTTCTTGACGAATATGGTCAAATAAAAACAATTTTGAAAAAGCAAACTACCGGATTGAGTCTTTTAAATGACGGGAAAGAGCCCCCGCAACCCGGTGAACCCCTCTGCTGACAGGCGATTTATGCATGTGGAAAACCCAGCTATTGTCTGAAACATACGCGTAATTCTATGGGGGGACACGTATCTGATATCCAATATCTGATATATCCACGTATCCAATATCTGATCATACTGTATGATTGTGCAGGCACTATCTAGTGATTGCAAATAACTTTACGTCTATCTTTCTAGCTACGAAAATATAAAATCCCGGCCGGTCCATTTCCCAAATCCATTCGACTTGCCTTAGGCTACACATTAACAAAACCTATTTCTCCTGAAATCCATGTCATGTTTTCCCTTTACCTTAAGTGGCTTGTGCACCGTCGTCAGTGAGTTAGGAAAAACTAAACAGAAGAGAGCGCGAAATCTGACAGACATTTGGCACATATCTGTTAATGGTAAATATCCTATAACAGTAATTAATTAAAATCTTAATAGCCACTATATGTTTATAGAAGAGAATAAGAGAGAGATCACTGGTCGCTTTGTTGTCAATTCAGGCTTGTAATTATTGCCGATGCAGTTGGTTGCTGTTGCTGATACGTTGGTTTGACGATCAGATGTAATAAAATTCCTTGTTGCGTTACACAATTACAAACATTCGGACTCTTTTATTTTATTTTGATTAAAAAACAAAAAGGTTCCAAAAGGGTTCTCCCTATCCCTAAAAATTATTCTTGGCACATAATGATCTTCAGCTGGTTTCATACATTCAGCCATTTCGTCTTTATTTTTGTCAGTGTTACTCTTAAGGTTAAGATTTCCAAACCTTAAATTATACTTAGGGAAATGACCGTTAAGGGGTTTTATGCAACACTTAACGATTTTTAAGGGATTACTTAAGTGAAAAACAGCATTTAAGGGAAAATCTAAGTGTTTATGACATTTCACTTAAAGAAACCCTTAAGTAACAGATGAGGGGTTTTTCTGCAACACCCTTAGGTTTAAGGGAAACATAAGGGTGAACTTAAGATAAAATTACACTTAAGGTGCTTTATGCAACCGGGCACAGATTTACTAAACAGCAAATTAACGTGAGAGCGCCATTTCAAAACAGCACCGATGTGAGTGGAAAGTTCTGCAATTGATCAACAGATGACACACAAATTAAAGACCACAGCTGGATCATTTACATAATGACCAACGCAATCTATCTGTATCTGGTTTAAGACATGCCTTTTGGGGGGAGGGGGGTAAATAATGGTGCAAACACCAGTACATTGACAAGCGCAAACCTTAGTAAATCAGCTTGTGTGATTCATTTAAATACTCTCCTCTGATCAATTTTGCATCTGAAAAAGTTAAACTCCTACAAATGCACATGTAACAAGCGCTAATTTTTCACTGCGTGTCTTAAGTAAATCCTGACAGTAGCACAAACTGTTAGTAAACCTGACCCTTAAAGTTGATTGGTAACATCTGTTTAAGACCAAACTGGGTACTCACCAACAATTCCTCCCACATCATACCACACAGATAGTCGGTCGGCCTGAACTTCCTTCCAGCCGAAGTTATTGCTGAGATAAAATGGCAGCCAGAAGAAGAAAGAGTAGTTGACCAGCTTCAGACATGCATAAGCCAGGGAATACTGCAAGAGACAGACAATAAATACAAATCTAGTCGACAATAATGGATAAGGATAAGTAAGGAAGTGTATAAATGGACACAGACGGGAAGGACTCCAGGCAAGCAGAAGGCCTGTAGGAAGCCGATGGCTTTGGGCTGTGGTTCAGGTTCCTCTTCCTGCTGCTGAATGGAGGAGTATTCCTCACATAACTCATCTTCATCATCACTCATCAGAGGGCGCTGACTGTCTGAGTCTCTTGTCACTGATCTCAGACCTGTCTCAGAGGGGTCACTTAGTCCTTAAAAAGAGACCAAAAGATGAGAACACTCTTTTACATCAAGTTCAATATTACAGGGGCCCATTTGTAGGATCACCGCAAAAACATTATTCTACTGGCCCCGCATTGTTTAAAATTGTTTACAATGTTTTTGACCAATGTAACCTTGTAATTGAATAAATAAAGTTGTTACGACACCAAAATATTAGATACCAATGAAACTTCATTATTCTCCATTGCAATTTCAACACCATAGCAAAAATTATTAGCTCAATAATATACAGTTACAAAATTTCAAAGACAAATGAACAGTAAGAAATAAAATAACAAATAAACAAATAACAAGTCAATAGCACAAATAAATACAACAGAACAAATATACAACTTAAATAAATAGTGCTTTAAGTTTTTCAGGTAGGTATTATTTAGTTATGAAATACTAAATAAATTACATAAAGCTAATATAAATAAACCAAGTTGATTGGAGCCGAGAGTTGATTTAGTATGATAAACATGTAGCGTGGCCACATAGGAGGAAAGTTTAGATGAGATTAGTGACTATTATTTAATGTTTAGTCACTGGAATTTCCTAACTTTTTCTACTTTGCTCTGTACTCTGAATGCCTTGCTATTGTACTGTATTTGGATCCCAAGGTGTGTGCGCACTTGAACATGTGATGACGTTTGTCACGTGGGCGTGTGTCACAGGTAAACAGGAAAAGACTTTTAGTTTACCATAAAAGGAACCGGAAAACTAATGTTCGAGAGAAGCGTCTTCTCATTCACAAAACCGACCGGTGTTTATGTGGATTTTCCCGGGATCGATTGTCTTAGAAGCGCCGAGTCGCCGTTCCTCAGTGGAGAACTTCTATTGGCTCGTTGCCAGGATTACTTTGAGGACATAAGCCTGTCATCCCCGCCTTTGATCACGCTCACGGTGTTGACATTCCTTCTGGTGAGGCTGATCTTAACACTCACACACACACACGGGACTATTGACATTGCCTTTGGACTTATGCACACATACCTACTCTCATACAACGGGGTTTATTGTTGTGGTATATGGTATTATGGTTTGTTTGTATGTTTTGTGTGAAATACACGGAAGGAGATATTGAACTTACATAATGTTCCATGAACTCTGTTTTCAACCATCTTAAAAAAGGAAGTTAGAACAGGCGTTCTTATGCAGTTTGTAACTCGGCTTTATTGTACGGTCAGTTTGTTACAAACATTTGGATATGAATGAACAACTTGTGCCGTTATCGTGCCTGATCAGACAGACACAGACATTTACATGCCATTAATGTGTTAAAAGATTTTTTTTTATGGATCTAATCACACTGCAAAAACACCAATAAGATATATGTTTTTGTTCACATGCCCAGAGCTGCTGCTGTTACATACAAGATGCAACCATGGGGTGCATCTCAATCAGCTGCCAAGATCATGTAAGATCGAAAAAATGTAAATTATGATGAATACTTTGATTATTACACATCCCTTCAACGTTTCAGCTGTAATTTAATTATAAATGGTAGCAAGATTATGTTCACTACCTATCCAACAATGTTTGTTTATTCTGAAATATAATTAGATAGCTGTAATGATTTAATTAAATCATTAAAAATCTGTCACATTTCATAATGTGTATTGAGTTGGCTTGCACAATTTATGTTTCACGCATCAGAATTTCCATTAAGAGAATATAGTGAGCATCGATGCTACGTGGTTTTCACCACTGTAAATACAAAAATCTGAAAGGCTATAAACTTGTAAACACTGTGTAACTTCCTTTCATCTCTGTGACAATTGCTTTGTGTGCCCGAGTAACCGAGGTAACCAGCGAATTTGCACTTTCATTGAGTCTGTCTAACATGCGAAAATCAGAATGAATTTTTGTGTAAGTGTGAAATGGCCTAGTAGTTCACTTCAGAAATTTAATTTCCTGATAATTTACTCAACCCCATGTCATCGAGATGTTCATGTTCATCTTTCTTTGTTCAGTCGAAAAGAAATAAAGGTTTTTGAGGAAAACATTCCAGGATTTTTCTACATATTCAATTTGGACTTCAACAGGGTCCAAATTGCAGTTTAAATGCAGCTTATATATATATATATATATATATATATATATTATATATATATACATACTTTTTAACCACAAATGCTTGTCTTGCTCGTTCCACGACTTCACGCATTACGTAACCACACTGGAAAGGTCAGGTGGAAACCTGACGTAGGGGGAAAATGATGGGTAGGGCAAACAACTTCATCTCATTTTCTTCTCTAACTCCGACATCGTTGTTTTACCTTTTATTTTTTTGGTAAAGGGCAAATTAGTCTTTGCACGTTCAATTTGTAAACACTTGGTCCGTACTTCCGCCTACGGCTGGACCTTCAAACCAGTTTCCCGTTAAGGTTCATTATACAGGGAAAAAAATCCTGGAATGTTTTCCTCAAAAACCTAATTTCTCATTTCTTTTCAACTGAAGAAAGAAAGACATGAATATCTTGGATGACGTGGGGGTGAGTAATTTGTCAGGAAATAATATATTGTTATAAATTGTCAGGAAATTATCATTCTGAAATGAACTAATCCTTTCATTTCATGGATGCAAGAAATAAAAGAGGAACTGATAAACTGAAACACTAAGAAGCAAAGAATCGGCAGCATCCATAATGAACTTACCAATTTCTTTTGGGGATGTGAGCAGGGCAAAAAACACCACCACACCACCCGCAAACTGCACCACTGATGTCACGAGGAAAGCATACTGAAACATACATTTAAAAACACACTTATCAGGACTACTACACATCCCCTACTCTAAGCATAACCCTCACATAATATAATAATATAATAGATTAACTTTCACAGAAATCTTTTTGACATTTACATTAAGATGTTATTTAGCTTACTAAGCTGTTTTCCTCAAGGGAACATTAATTGATATGATCTAAAATTAAGTTATGTAGTGCGCACTTACCTCATAGCCATACTTCAGGACACTGGAGGCAAGAAACGCACCCAGAATATTCCCCACAGATGCACATGCACTCCACAGTCCAAACACAAAGCCTCGGCTGGCAGACAGAAGATATGACAAATGTATAAGCAAAATTACTGCCATAAGGAAACATACTGTTACATGTCTGTGAATTCCTTGAAATCAAAACATACAGGTTCTCTCAAAGAAAAACTTACGCATTAGGTTTGTTGGTGAAATACATTTTTGATCAAGTGTCCCACCACGTGTGCAAGAATGCCATGTTGTGACGAGTATATCATGGTGTAATTACGGGTGCAAATGCATAATGACAATTTTGTTTTGATATTTGTGCACCTGCATATCAGTTGTTAATGTGTAATGTGTACCATCTGTTAGTATAAATACTAATAAAATAATAATAGAATTTTTCAACTACACCAGAGTTGGCACATGCTATCGTCATTGTTTTAGCACCCAATTTACTACATAAATTGTACAAAACAGCTAAACGTGCATTTAATAATCTTAAAGGGTTAGTTCACCCAAAAATGAAAATTAAGTCATTAATTACTCACCCCCATGCTGTACAAATTTGGTACAGCATGGGGGTTGCTGTACCAGCAAATTGGTCTCGCATGCGCGAGAACTGAACTGAAGTAGTTAAAGGAGATCGCAATTCTCGCGCATGCGTCGTGGAAATCGTATTGAAGTCTCGTTTCAGGCCAACAAGGAAGAAAAGGAATAGTCGAATAATGTCATTATTTTTGTTTGTTTTTTCGCACAAAAAGTATTCTCGTCGCTTGATAAACTTATAGTTGAGCCACGGTAGTCACATGGAATATTTAAACATTTTCTTCTTTGACTTTCTGGGCCGTCAAGAGCCAGTCTCTTAGGCAGTCTATGTGGTAGTTATATAGCTCTCAAATTTAATCAAAAATATCTTCATTTGTGTTCCAAAGACGAACGAAGTTCTTACAGGGTTGGTACAGCATGGGGGTGAGTAATTAATGACTTAATTTTCATTTTTGGGTGAACTAACCCTTTAAGAAAGGAGGCAAGTTTGCACTGTAAAAAAACTGCACAGTGTCATTTCAACGCATTTAGCACCTAATTAAACTAGATCAAGGATGATAAGTTGCAGATATTTTTGCATAAAAATTCTGAAAAGTCTGAAGTCACACATACAGTTATTTTTTTTTAAATAATCACTAACTTCTGGAATCATGTGTGTGTATTAAAAGATGATGTGAAATCCTGACACCTACCCAGATTTCCCAAACCAGTTGCCCATGATGGCGACCACACAGGGCCAAACTGTAGATTGCAGAAGTCCATTTATCACCCACAAAACGCAATAAAAGTACACATTATAAAAGTGAAGCCATTCTGTCAAAGTGCCAAAAATAAATTCCTAAAGAGAAGAGAGGGTGAATGTAATTAAATAAAGACATGAATTTTTGTTCCCTTTTATAGGTTCGCGCAACACTATTGTCTGTGACTGACGTTATGGGAACACCAACCAGGTGTGAGAAACAATTTTCTCATTAGCTGATGGTGATAGAGTTGCACTCTGAAGCACCAGATCATCATTGCTTTAAAAGGACATGTGCGTGCCATCAGTCCACAGATTGTTCTTAAAGAAGGTTTATCTGCCCAGGCTTCATGACAGCTTTATTTGAATAATAGACCCTCGCTTGTCTTGACGATCGGTTGCTGATTGTGCTAGTCGTGTTCCACATTTTGGATGACATCAGTTCAACTGTTTTTGATCAAAAATTTGATTTTTTTTTTTTGATTTTTTTTTGAAAATTTCAAACACTAAGGAGTTCAACTGCAGCAACAAGCTTATTTCAATTCTTTGATTGGTGAAGATTCTTTGCAGAATCTTGGATAATGTTAGCCTGACATTGTCATACTCATATTCTAGTCAGAATGAGAGTCTGATACTCCTCCATAGGTCTTTGATTATGAGGCGTGTCTTAACTAAACCAGGAAAAAGCAACTCTGCACTCAATTTACTTGGTCCTCCATGAGTGCGACCAAATGAGAAACCACAAAGACCACAGGGTTTTTTTTCATTGCGTCATTGCGACCCTCGGAGTCCCCGTCAGAAGGACGGCAAACACATCTTTCCGATCGACTTTCCGATCGAAATGCCTTGATTGTAGTTCTCTGTTCGTCTTTTAAAATTAATGCACTGTCGATTTCTTCACCAACAGACGCGATAGCGGAAAACATCTCAATTCTCCAGCTGCAGTCATCTTTGAGGGAAACCAGTTCAACCCAAGCACTCTTTGATAAAGTGCTGATTACATAACTGCAAATCATCTGTCCATCATCGTATAAAGCCCACCCAGGCAACTTGATTGGCCTGACGATTTCTAAACCGATCATAATTACTTAATGGATCGAGTCCAAACCGAACTTCCAGACCAAAAATTGTAGTGGGTGGGGTTCAGGCAGGCATCCAGGCTAGGATAATGTAGTTTTTTTACCAGGAATTTCATTGCAAAACATGATTATAAAAAAATTAAAGTTGAAAATGTGCAACTTCAACAAAAGCATTTACCATTAATAAGTTGTTGTTACAAATCAATTCCACCATGGAGAAAATTAATGGAAATTTTACCTCTGGAATCCAACTGTTGTACATTTGGCGCATTGATTCTATATCAGTTCAAGCAATTGTCTCACCTGGAGGGTGTTTCCATAGCACCAGCTACTATTTAGGGAACAAGGGCTACAAACGTAACCAAGAGGTTTTCTTTGCTTTATACTTAATGCATTCAGCTTAACAAACATAACTTAATAAAATATTCGATTAATCACAATTAAATATTTGAATTGATTCACAGCACCTAATTACAGAATACCAACCGTGATTGCAGATCCACATAAACCGAATGACAGAACATAGCGGAGGTTGAACCGATCCCCAATCACCCCGCTGATATACAAACCCTGAAAGAAAACCAAACAAATCACTGTCACATGGGGTGTGTGCAATCTTTTAGGCAATATCACAATTATTGTTTTATATGCGATTTTGACATTATCAGGTCTCACTCACTTTTCAAAAAACAAACAAAAACTGCTTAATACAGCCAAGCAGGGTATGCTAGAGCACGAATGATAAGGAGTTTTTGATGGCTGATGCCAATATAATATAAAGTTTATATAGATTACATCAAACTGTTTAATTCAAAGATACTTTTAGAAATAAAAATTGATGTTGATTGAGGGTGATGAAAAAAAAAACTGTGAAATAATATATATATATATATATATATATATATATACAGTATATATACAGTGCCCTCCACAATTATTGGCACCCCTGTTTAAGATGTGGTTGAGGACTTTTAAAAATTCTCCCTTTTTTTTAAACAACATAGAACCCAAATGCAAAAAAAGAGAAAAATCCAACCTTTTATTCAAGTACATTACTTTGGTGGTAAAAAAAAATGTAAAAATTTAGAAAAATAAAAACTTCAAATCCTGTGTCCCACAATTATTGGCACCCCTAACAATTCCGCTGAAAAATGTAATTGATTTTTAAAAAAATATATATTTTCTGTAGTTGCTAATGTTGGTCAGGATATCTAGGAACTTTTAATTAGTAATTCATGACTTCCTATTTCCCTGGGGTATAAATATGACATGACACAGAGGCCTAATTCTCTTACCCATTTGTCAACATGGCAAAGACAAGAGAACACACCATTCAAGTAAGGCAGATGTGTGATGACCTTTATAAGTCAGGCAATGGCTACAAGAAAATAGCCACTCACCTTATATTGCCCATATCTAAAGTTAGAGGAATCATTAAGAAGTTTAAAACAACAGGAACAGTGACAAACAAGGCTGAAAGAGGTCCCAAGTTTATCTTGCCACAACGCACTGTGAGGAGGATGCTAAGAAAAGTAAAAAAAAGTCCTTTGGTCGGATGAGACTAAGATTGAGCTTTTTGGCAACAAACACTCTAAGTGGATCTGGTGTAAAACAAAAGATGTGTATGCCGAAAAGTACCTCATGCCCACCGTGAAGTATGGTGGAGAATCTGTGATGCTGTGGGCCTGTTTCTCTTCCAAAGGCCCTGGGAACCTTGTTAGGGTGCATGGCATTATGAACGCTTTGAACTACCAGGACATTTTAAATAAAAACCTGATGGCCTCTGCCAGAAAGCTGAAGATGGGTCGTCATTGGGTCTTTCAGCAGGATAATGATCCAAAACGTGTGGCAAAATCTACACAAAAATGGTTCAGTCACAAACTCAAGGTCCTCCCATGGCCATCTCAGTCCCCAGACCTCAATCCAATCGAAAACCTGTGGGGTGAGCTAAAGAGGAGAGTGCACAAGAGAGGGCCCAGGATACTGGATGATCTAGAAAGATTTTGCAAAGAAGAATGGTCAAAGATCCCTCTCTCTGTGTTCTTCAATCTTGTGAAATGTTATAGGAGGAGATTAAGTGCTGTCTTGTTGGCAAAAGGGGGTTGTACAAAGTATTAACATCAGGGGTGCCAATAATTGTGGGACACATGATTTGAAGTTTTTATTTTTTTAAATTTTTAATTTTTTTTTTACCACCAAAGTAATGTACTTAAATAAAAGGTTGGATTTTTCTCTTTTTTTGCATTTGGATTCTATGTTGTTTAAAAAAAAGGGAGAATTTTTAAAAGTCCTCGACCACATCTTAAACAGGGGTGCCAATAATTGTGGAGGACTCTGTATATATAATACTCTGGGACAGGGTACAGCATGTGCATTTCACTTCATCCGAATGCATTTAGAACGCACAGAGCAGTGTTTTGTTACTAAATTAATCAGCATTTTTGAACAAATCGTTTAAGTTAATGATTCAGTGACCCTTTCATAAAGACAGTCACTTGCTTTTGAATGAATGACTCAATCAGTATGTTTACATGGACAAAAATATTCAAATATTAAGCCAATTAAGACAATACTCTGATTATGAAACGACCATGTAAACAGGGGTTTCTGATTACCTTAATCCGAGTAAAGTCATAGTCGTAAACACAAATCGAATTAAGGCATGAGGAGTCGTCTTATAGACATGTACAAACCTTAATCACACAATTAATTCTCCCTCTCTACAATTAATTCTTTGCTGCATTTTGGACAGGACACATACAGTACACACACGCCAGTGGTCAACCGTTTGACGGCAAACAAGAGAGCATGGCTTTAGAATTTATATCAGCCCTCGTCTATTTGTACGTCCAGCAAGACAAATAATTAACTGCACTTTAAGCTTTCGTACGTCTAGAAATAAAACACTCAAAACTCTAATGGCCATGTGCCATTAATTGATTTATGTTCAAACATGTGGAGGAGTGCTCAAGATGGTGATGTGAGTGGCTGTGATATTTTGAGCTGAGACAGAAACATAGGGCCCTATTTTAATCTGAAACGCAAGTTCCAAGTGTGAAGTGCAAGTAACTTTGCAACTTTGTCACCCAAATCAGCATCGGTTAAACATTATATACTTGAGATGGTAAGATTCACTGTTTCGCATCCGTGCATCGGCTTAAAAGCTAACGATGCGATGCATCGATTTAAATAAGTGTGCATCGGATACAAGTTGGTATTTGTATCGCGATGCATCGTTTCTAACATCTGCATCGGTAAAAAAATGATAAATTCATATATAATTACTAGTAGATTGGGCTATACTTTTATTATTTAAAAAGTGACCAATCTTTTATTATGCAGCCTGTGACTGCCAATAATAGTTTTTATTTTTTTATTTTTACATTTGATTAGTTATGAAAGACCTGTGTTGTGAAATTTTTTTTTTGTAATTATTTGTTAAAACAGCACCAGCTTTTATTTAATCTTTTGGTTTTGTGAAAAAAGATGAAAGAACCATGCATTAAAAGTCTGATGGCACTTATACTTTATGATTTGCTGTATGTCTGAATAAAAGAAATAAACCATATTGAAATGCATTATATTTTTCTCCATTGCATCATATTACATTGAATTGCATCGTGTTGAATCGAATAGAAATCAGATTGCACCGCATCGTAATAGTAGTAAATTGTATCGCATCGAATCGGTAGCTGCTTATTTGTATCTTTAATATATCGTATCGTTGGCTATGCATCGAGATGCGTATCTCTCATATGGAAATGCCCTATTATAAACATATGTTTCTTGCCACAATTGGGCAAACAGGTCTGATCCTTTAGTACTACAATTATCCTTACACAAATTGGGTAATTGGGTTCTCTTACGAGAGGTTCTCTCGTATTGCGTAAGCTAGCTTACGCTACGGGAAAGATTCATCTTTGCTGAGAAGTTGAAGCCAAAAAATTATTCCATAATTTTGTAATCATTGTCAACGCAGTCTCTTCTGAGGCAGACCATGAGCGGGCTAGCTAGCGGCTCATTGGTTCGCTCAGAGAGAATGCACGAACCTATGGGAGAGCGACGCTGAGTCCGCGCCCAATGAGCGGACGGCGCTCACTCACTGCTTCACAGCCCGCCAAAAGGGGCGTGGCTACAGTGTATAAAGGTAGCTCTCCCAGGCTAGTTCGTCGATTCTTTTTCATTCAGCGAGCTACACGCATCCGCTGTCCTGGGAAGAAGCCGCCGTCGTCGAGAGGGCACCTTCTAGCGAGCTCCGGAGTCTGAGGAAGCCGGCCGTCTGCCACCTTCAGCCGCCCAGCAAGCTAGCGCCATCCGACGCGTATCCTTTTTATTCCATATCCCTAAAAGAGCCGAGCGTCTTTTTAAAGATGCCTCGAATTTCCTGCGGCTCATGCCGCTCTCCACTCGAGGAAGCAGACCGCCACCCCATCTGCGTTCTCTGTCTCGGAGTGGAACACGCAGAGCTCGCCCTCGCCAACGGAGGATGCGACCACTGCGAGGACCTGCCTCTGTCCTCCCTGCGGGCTCGACTGCAGGCGGTCAAAACCGCTCCCGCGCCGCCTCTCACTTCGCCGCGGAAGAAGAAACGCCGCTCCCAGAGGCCGCCGGAGCCCCCTGCGGATCCATGTGGGCCGCCGCCCACCGACCGCTCTCCCTCTCCGCCCCTGCCGGCTTACAGTTGCCGCCGAGTGGCCGCTCTGTCGCCTCCGACGACACCGCGGATGAGAAGGACTCTTGTTCGCTGCACGCTTCTGACAGCGAGGATTGGTCGTCGATCGGCTCATCGACGAGAGAGTCTGTGAGGACCCGCGCCGGCATCGAGGAGGAACTAACGCGCCTCCTTTCACAGGCCGTCAACCGCCTGGGTCTCGAGTGGTCTCCTCCCCCCGAGCAACCACCGAACCGCATGGATGGGAAGTTCCTGCACCGGCGCCCGGCCCCCGCTTGCAGCCGGGCTGCACCATTCCTGCCTGAGCTACACAACGAGCTCACGAAATCCTGGAATGCCCCTCTTTCGGCTCGTAACCGCTCCGATGTGTCCGCTTCGCTGCGCTCAGTGGACGGAGCCGCCGAGAAGGGTTATACTGCCATGCCGCCCGTCGAGGACTCGGTCGCCGCACATCTTTGCCCGCCCTCTGCTAGATGGCGTTCTTCCCATACGCTTCCTTCAAAAGCGTGCAGAGCGACCTCCAACTTCCATGCCCGCGCCTATGCCGCCGCCGGACAGGCCGCTTCAGCGCTGCATTCCATGTCAGTCCTCCAGGTGCTCCAGAGCGACATCTTGTGCGAAATGGCGAACAGCGGTAGGAACCCGCCCATCCTTTCGGATCTGAGAAGCGCTACGGATCTTTCCCTTCGCGCCACTAAAGCCGCCGCACAAGCCCTGGGGAAATGCATGGCCGCCCTCTGTGTCGCTGAGAGACACTTATGGCTCACGCTTACCGACATGGGAGATTCAGAACGCGCCGTGTTCCTCAACGCGCCTATATCTCCGACCGGGCTCTTCGGATCTGCCGTCACGGGCATCGTTGACCGCTTCTCCGAGGTACAGAAAGCGACTCAGGCCA